CGCCGACGCTTGCGATTGGTTCGGAACCTCGTCCATTCTACCTAGGTGGCCACAGGGTCATCCAAACCCCGAAGATCTTCGGTGACATTCGTGTATAGCGGACACAATGGAGTGTTTGAAAACGTGGCTAGCAGAGCTATCAGATCAAGTACGCTTCGGGTAACGTACTCATTCATTGCACCCGTTCCGTCCAACAACATGATGAGTACCGAAGCTCGGCTATGTTGAATATCATTTCCTGCAGGGTCAATCGTACGACTTTCATGCACCCTTTGCTCAATTGTACCTATGTAGCGCAAAGTTTATCTCACCTGGACTTCTCCTTTACCTAGGTACACTACGGTGTACACTGTAGAACCTTTAGTAGTACTCTGCGGTTCTGGAGAAGATACTTTCGAATTTTGATGCCTTTGTCATAGCCTTTAGCCAAACACATGGCCCGTGTTTTCTTTTCTACACGGTGGACACTTTTCTTCTTTGTACCTAGGTGGTGTGTACGTGAGCTATCGTTCACCGCTGCAATCTGCGAGCATGACGCACACCGTGCTTTCCATACCAACACGCCTAAGGCGTGAAAGTGTCTCGTATTCTGCTGCGCGATTGTCAATCGCTTAGATAGTCGTTTGGCAAGGATAACATGCGTTCGTTCACAATGTTGATGGTGATCATGCTTGAAGCATTTCCGCGGACCTGCGATAATCGAAAAGAAAACTCGCCTACCTTACCCAGAGACATTGGCCTACTGGACTACAACTGGCATGTTACTGTTACATGGATCGGCTCGCGAATCTTAGATGCGGAAGATCTTCGTGCGCGTAAGCTACCAAGGTAGACGGAGGGGGGCGCAACACCGGGTGCTTAGCCCCATCGCATGAGACCCGTCACCAAAGACTGCACAGCCTCGGTAGGCGTCGAGGCGAGGCGAGGATACTTTCGGCGGGATGCATCCGATGCTATCTGTTACAGGCGATCCAGTTGACATTGGGCAGTGACACAGCAACTACAACCCGTAACGAAGTCGTTTTGTGGAACTCCCCTGCGAAGAGTCATGGACTGCTGTCGTGGATTTCGACATGAATCACGGGAATCAGACCATCGCCGCTTTGGCCCTCGCAAAGCGGAAAGAGCAAGAAAGCACGGCACGATGAGGCACAAGTGCGCTGTCAGTTGATCATGAACTGTCCTTGGACGCCTTACCAGCATACACACCCTTTTTGACGCTGTCCAGGACCATACAACTGGCTAAATTTCATCTGGCCGTTGCTTGCGTCAACGGAAGCGGCGTCTGGTCAAAGCAGACGTCTTGTTCTAGCCGCTACGAAGTCTTTCGTAAGGTTGGTAATTCTATAAACGTCGGAGTAGAGTATGTATGGGTGAAGTCCACCTGGGCACCTGAACACTTCGTGAGGTACCACCAGGGCGGGCTTAGGAAACATCCCAACGGCTCAAAAGTCCACTGAATCTTGTTGTATCAAATGACCTGACCAATCGGCCGAGATGGTATCCAGAACATTTGAGCGCTGATTTAGAGAAGCAAACGTGGTCTTGCTGATAGATGGGTTGTCCGGGCAGTTCCAGGGTCACGTGCCTGCTTAGGTAATGCCTAAAGCTCTGACTTCATTGCACTTTCCCCGCTGAATCGCGAAGCCAACCGCGACGAGACCACGACGAATTCACCCATCACCAGCGCGTTCCTACTCACCATCTCGGTGCGGTCGCGCTTGTCTCTCCTTCTCTGCTACACAGTCAGTGATAGAGACACTCAATCTTCTCATCAACAAGAAGCAAGCTGACGCCAGAATTTATCTTCAGAAGCAAGATAGCGCGGTCCAGCATCACAGCAAGAGCCAACATGGCAGCGTCTCGCTCAAGTTCAGCTTCAGAGGGCGAGGTCTTGGATACCCGACACAAGGCAAACACAGTCAACTCGCGCGACGAACCTGCGATTAACGGCTCAAGCAGGTCCTTTGGACTGGATGGTGCTTATGATAACTACCGCGCATTGAGTCGCTCCCCTTCGCCATACCGCCGCAAGCGCACCCCATCACGCTCTCCGTCACCCTATCGGAGGAACCGCGCCGTCGACCGATCGCCATCGCCCTATCGACGAAGCCGAGCCGACCACACTGGGAATGATGCAAGGGGCTACAAGCGCAAGGCCTCTCCGCCGCGCAGTCGTCCTGACAAGCGGTATCATGCTGATCGTAGCAGACACGGTGACCCTCGACGGGCTCCAGGATCTTACCAGGGAGGCTTTGTCAAGGAACAGAAGGATGTACCAGACCGATCACACGCCAGGCCCATATCCTACGCCGAAGTCGAGAACCCCAACCCCGTGCCAGACTTCCGAGAGCCGCTGCCTACCGACAAGCGACCACAGAACTCGCGTCACGGAGATCAGCAGCGCGACAAGTCTCGTCAGTCGCAGCCACAGAAGCAACAGGCACCGTCAGAACGCCCCAAGGCCGAGGCGAACAAGGCAAGCGTGACAGAAGATGTTGAGATGTAAGTGTACCCAGTGCCAAATGATTCCTCTACACAACTGACTCTGCAATAGGACCTCCGTTGACGATACGACTGAGTACACCCCGGCCCCTGTCGAAGAGAAAGTTCCCACTCAAGAATCGCGTGAAGAGAAACGTCGCCGCTGGGCTGCTATTCGCGCCGCTGCTTCTGAGCAACAGAAGCCGAAAGACAGTCTGCTTCAGCAGGCTGTGCTGACGAATGCATCTGAAGCGGCAACCCCTAATGTCGGATCGCCAGCGGCCCACGCCGACAGTCCCATCTCACCGTTCGCATCGCCCCGTAATGGCGACCTCGACTCCGTACCAGCTTCACCAGACGTTATGGTAATCGACAAACAGAACATAATCAGCGAGGGCAACAGTCCTGCGGTAGCGAGTCCATCCGCGGCGGATTACGACCCGCTACAGGACATGCTGGACGATCGCGATCGCGCTGCCAAGAAGAACCAGAACACCGAAGTATCCTCGGATGCGTACCGCGAGACCGACCCGAAAGCCCTCTCTACACTTCCAGCTGAGAAAGTAGCACCTGTCAAGAAACAAAAGAAAGAGTTCGACATGTTCGCTTCTGATGACGAAGACGAGGAAGAAGATGTCGGAACTGAGGAGGCTGTTGTTGCGAAAGGCACTGTGCTTGACGAGAAGCTGCTCGACAATTGGGACGATCCCGAAGGTTACTACAAGCTGATCAGCAACGAGCTAGTGGATGGTGGACGCTATCGCATGATCAAGGGTCTTGGTCGTGGTGTCTTTGCCAACGTCGCACAAGCTGAAGAAGTCAGGGCTGACACCGGAGATTCAAATCCCAGGATAGTCGCTATCAAGATGATTCGCCGGAACGACTTAATGAGAAGAGCCAGTCAGAAGGAGATGGACTTCCTGCGCAAAGTCAACGAGGCAGACCCACAAGACAAGCGTCACATTATTCGCTTATTGGGTTCTTTCGACCACAAGGGCCATCTGTGCATCGTGTTCGAACACATGTCGAAGAACTTGCGAGACCTGCTCAAGGAAGAGACCAACGGCCACGGCCTCACACTTCCAGCTGTCCGCATCTATGCGCGTCAGATGTTTCTTGGTCTCCAGCACTTGCAGAACTGTCAGGTCATCCACCTTGATCTAAAGCCAGACAACGTCCTAGTCTCTGCTGACAAGAAAACTATCAAGCTCGCCGATTTCGGTACCGCTGTCGACAAGCGAGACGTGATCGAGCGCACTGAGTACCTCGTTAGTCGATTCTACCGCGCACCCGAGATCATACTTGGTATGGAGGTTGGCTATCCTGTCGACATGTGGGCTGTGGGTTGCACTGTGTATGAGCTATGGACTGGTAAAATCCTCTTTACCGGACGGTCTAACAACCAGATGATCAAGTCTTTTATGGACTGTCTGGGATGGCCAAGCGAGAAGCTGCTCAAGAAGGGTCTCGTCAACAATATTCTCGATAACTTTGAGTTGGGTCCACCGTTGAAGTTCATCAGTAGGGAGGTGGATCAGTACAACAAGGTAAGCGCTTTTGTCCCTCTAAGAGGTAAAACTAACGAGCCAAAGCTCTCTGTCCGTAAAATTGAACAGCAGAAGAAGATCAACCGCGATATGAAGACGCGAGTTCATGAAGCTGCCCGAAGCATCTCCACTGGAGGACCTACCGTGGGCGAGCTGAACGATCTTGCGGATCTGTTGAGCGCAAGTCTACACATGAACGTCGAAAAGCGTCTATCGCCAAAGGAAGCTCTCGCGCACAAATTCTTCGCCAGTAAGAACCCCGCGCCTAAGACCGCCACACCTGCAAAGTCTGCTGTCGTCAAGCCACCCATGATGAAACGTGGCAATCCAGTTGGTACCTCCACTATTCGTCGGTAAGCTCTACAACATGGATTTCAGCGTGGCAATTTTCTTGACTTTTGGCGTTGTTCTGCTTCTTTGCTTTGAGCGTGAAAATAAGGACCGTCTTCGAAGAACACGGCTAGGGCAAGGGCTTGGACTTTGGTGTATGGAGTATGAACAATTAACACAGGACCTTATAGGCTGCCATCAGACTGGTTTCCAGTATCGAAGATGGCGCCTGCGGAGAACATAGACAAGGGTAATCGGTCTACGGAGTGAGTAGGACACATTTACCGTGGGGTCGGGTACCACTGGGTTTGAGTCTCACGGCGCTGCTCATTTACAACTTTCGACCATGGTTCACTTCACGGTTACCGGTTACACGACAATCAATGGAGCAGATGTGTGGTGGACTCGGATCGAAAAGTAAGTGCTGCTGTGCACTTGCTTGTGGGTGGGCCTTCCTGTGGAATCGGCCTTGGACGTCCCTAGAAGAACTCCCGATCCATGTGAAATTTTCGGTGGAGGAAAGGTGATGAGGTGGAAAGCTAGTTCACATGTATAATATTGGGCACCCGGTATCTCAAGATACAGTCAACATGATGTATGTAGTGGAATAATCAATGTGCTATACATCTTGTCTATACTTCAAGCATCAATCTCTCCTCTCAAGAACGCTTTGACTTTATCACCCCAAACGACCTGACGCTTGTAGATAGTCATGGCTGGTACGCTGCCCAGGCGCAAGCCGTCGATAGCTTCCGCAAGAACCTGCCCACTTCCCTCGTCCCTCAATTCACGTAGGGGATACTGGTAGGTCTTGTTCTCGTTAGCCGAATCCAGCTAACAAAGCCAGCCATACGTACCTTGAACGCAAAGACCAGTGCTCCAGTCTTTGGTAAACGATGCAACGTCTGCCTTTCGCACCTTACTACCGACTTGTTCAGATCAACATCCTCTACGTCCTCTACCTCTTGCTTTCTTTGCATCTCCTCTTCACTCATATGATTACCCTCCAAGCAGAACAGCTCCCCATTCGTACTGATGCTCCAATTACTCCGCTTAACGATCTTGCCCACAGGCAGATTGGCAAAGAAGCGATCCATGCTCTTCTCTAGCTTTGCCGCGTACCCGGGGACGGGAGCGTGGATGTCAGCGAGGAGTTGGCCAAGTTTTGAACGCGTGTTGAAGCCGCTTGGAAAGCAGTTTACGAAGGCTGTTAGTACGTATTTCGTCGGACTAGTAGGTGAAGATGTACAAGGGGAAGGAGTGAGTAAGAGGAATTCCGTGTCGATGTTCGCACCTAGGATCTCTAGTGCTTCTTCCCCGTTGGGCATGTGTAGTGGGATGAGGGTATCTGTGACGTGATTCCGCAGATGCTTGCCTGATTCTGTGATGCGGTATAGGCTTGGGAAGCGTTGGGGCAGGTACGTTCCCATGAGCCATTCGTAGAGTTCTTGGACTGCGGGGACGGCTTCTGGGTTGCATGCAATGACTTCGTGGTGTTCTTGATTGAGGAGCTTCGTTCGAATTTGTAAACGTGTGCAGTAGGTGTTGTCCATGGCTAGGAGGTCATTTAGGGTGGTGTTCTCAAGAGCTGTTATGTCATCTGTGTCAGTGCTTGTCATAGTGTTCAAGATTCATGATGGAGACGCTACCCATGGTCATATGAAACTTCGGTTTGAAAGGACGAAGCTTGAGAGGTGCTTCTGTTTCGAGGTTGAAGTTTGGGAGCGGCGTAATGGCATTGTATACGGCTTCTGGATTTATAGACTCGAGTTTGTTGGTGCTTGGTGATGTTGTCGGCGCCCGCCAAGGTCTCTGGATTACCGGTTGTTATCAATGTCTCTAAGGGAAGATGCAATACTGGAGACTTCGTACACTGACAGCCTTTTGTAGTCGACCTCGCTGGGACAATGCCAGAACAATTACCCCCGCCAGCAGCAGCAACCATGCTAGTGGCTTATCGACAAGACTAAGTTGATCCATGGTTGTATTCGATTATCTTTCAAGGCGTGTCAAACAGATGGTCTGGATGTATTTGATATCTAAAGCGCCCGCCAAGCATATAGGGCGTCGTTATGACATCGGGGAGAGGATGGGAAGCATGAACTAAGAGACGCTACAAGCGCGGTGAGTCTGCTATCAGTCGTGTTGAAGTAAGTGGGATTTGATTGCCTATCAGAGCTAACCCCGCATTCGGGCGGTTACGCTAAGATGTTGTACTAGGGACAGGCCATGTACAAGTCATGCATTCGTCGACTCTCACTCAAGACTGGTCCGATGCTAGGTCTCAAGGCGTACGATAAACCGTTACAAGAATATGAAGATGTTTGATTTCACGTTAGAGAGCCCTTCGAAACTGAGAAACCCCTCCAGTCCTTGCCTACGTGCCTTGCGGCTGGATCCGTGTACATGCAGTTGCTTTGGCACAGGCTTGTAGTATATATGGCATGGCGGTTTTATCGGATCGCAAACCGTTACAAGACCATGCGCGACGACGCATGGCGAACGGATGCCATTCCTTCAGCCTCAATGAAGTAGCTTTAGTCTCCACAACAGTCTTGCTAGACGTTTGCCTTGTCGAGTCTACGCCTTGGTGTCTTCGGCCTCAGGGTGGCCCACAGGCACCAGCTTGCCCACAACCAAGTACTTCTCCTCGAATCTCTCCTCCCATCCCCTAAGCGCATCCATCTGCTCGGCATCCAGACCCTCAAGAGTGTCCAGCGGTCCATCCAAATCCTTGGTCAACATGTCCTCGTCAAAACTGCCACAGGCCAGGCCCCTTGAGGCATCGCGGCCAGCGAAGTTTGCATAAGGGCCACCAGGTCCGTAGAAGTTGCGACCGGATGTGACGTCAAAGACACGGCCACGGACGGCGAGGTAGACGGGCATGTTGTTCAAGCCATTGTAGGGGAAGAGCGAGGGCGGGGTGAAGGTGCGGAAGACGGTTGGCGGCGGGGCGCGCGGGAGGGTTTGCGGAGCGGCTGGCTTGAGGCGGAGATAGACGAGCAGGCCGAGGAGAGAGAAGAGGATGATGTTTATTGGGGTGAAGACGGAGGCGCTGGAGGGCTGTGAGCGAGGTGTTGGTGAAGGAGCGGAGCTGGTTGCTTACGCGTGGGCTGCCGCTGGCTCCGGCAGAGGTGATGGGAGTGCTACTGCGGTTAGCGCGACGTTGTCCCTGTATGTGGCTCTTGTAGGGACTAACCATCTGACATGGCTGCGGGTGGTGTGCTACAGCTGTGCTAGAGTGGTGACGGTGAAGGGTGCTGGCGTGGTTGAGGGTCGGCGGGGAGCTCAGTCGACATGACAGCCGATGATGCAACCCCAAAGACTCTCGCAGCACTAACCGGCCATCCATGCCAAACTATCACGGACGTCCGCCGGCTGACATGCAAGGGCCGAATCCACACATATGTACATACAATTGAATCACATTCGGCCTGCATCTGCCCGTCAAAGGGGCGCCATGACAGCTGAGATGCACTGCGGTGCATGTGAGACATAGCCACCGGCCTGCACAACCACGGATGATGACGGCTGCTCTCTTTCACCGGAGAGTGGCCATGGTAATCTTAGATACTTCGACTCCACTTGCACCGTGACCGCACAACCGCAAGCACGCGCCCATCTGCGCGCAGACGTTGAGCATCGCGCCGCTGCATCCAGCCCATCCCTGCCGCGCTGCCTCTGAAACAGGGCCCTTTCCAGCCCTGAAACGCGCGACAGCGATTCATTTCCACCGTGCTGGGACGCGCTGATTCGCCCACGCCGCCTCTTGCGCCTCGGCCCTATCCCGTCCAAACATTGTGTCGCAAACCAATTCGCTGCTGTCGAACCGCTGTGTGAAGACAAAGACTTGCGGCACCGGTGCGATATCCTGCCGCTGGCGCTTTGGTCGAGGCGCAGTTCGCGAGTGTTTGTGGGGTGTTCTCCTAGATGCACTGAGCCGGCACTGATACCCGTGGATAACTCTACCTCGACTTGGTCGCCCTCCCTCATTTACCAAAATTACGCCCTCGGTGCTGCTGCAGCGCCCGAAGGATTCACGGCTTGAAGCTTACGTGCTGTTTCTTTGTTTAATCTGGCATCAACCACCACAACAACAACACAAACAGTCAACACCAACTCCACACCTCTCCCTTTACGCATAATTACACCGGTACGTACTCATATTCCTTATCCCCTCACCAGCTCTTTTGGCCTTGGTACTTGCGTCCTCGACATCGCCCGTTGGTTTATGCGCTTGCCATGCAATCCGGTTCCGGGATGGGACGCAATGCCAGGTTGCACAGAAAGAGCCGGTGTCTGTGTCATTCAGATACAGTGAAGACATCTGGTAGTGGCCCTCCGCATCTCTGATCGACGGTCCATGTCTCTCGCCTATCGCCCGCACCGACAACCATCTCCACCAGATCTAGAACCAGGCCAAGTCTCGCGATGTCGATGGGTTTCAAAAAGCATCCAACAATCATGCAATCCGTGCAATGGCTCTCAAGGTTGCTGCGAAAAGGAGAGGCTTGCTGAAATAAGTAGCTCGGGGCCGCTGAGAATACCGCCTTCCATACTTCGTGATGCTTATGTATACTTGCACCAATATCGAGCCGGGCTAATATTCGTTTCATGCAGATTCGCCCATAATGTGGAAACGATTACAGGGAGCCGTCCGAGATAGGGAGAGGCATGCGCAAATAGGAAACCCCGTACTTCTTGAAACCACCTATGACGAGGATCAACTGAAGCGCAATCCCAAAGTGACCGACCTGCAAAATGGCAGTCACCATAATTATGCGCTCCCTCAACTATCGCAGTAAGTATTGCAATTTCGTTTGCTCACTCACCGCTGATTGTCTCGCAGTTTATTGTCTCCCCAGGAACCTCCCAACTACAGAGCCTCAGAAGTACCCACGGCCTCCTCCATCTACTCACAAGACACACTCTGCTACAATAACGACAACCCCACCGGCAGATCGCCCTCCGCATACGAAGACATATCGCCTCCCAGCTCTCCGGAACCGGAACAGTACTCCTCTTTTAACCTACCGCGAAGATTTCGCTCGATGCGTGACGTGTCACCCATGGACGACGATCGCAGAAAACTCGAAGACGATTCCCGCGCGGGTAGCCAGATCCCCGTCCTACGCAGAGCGCCGTCTGTCCTACGAAATGGTGACGCTCCACCAGCACCTAAGCAGAAGTTCTGGGAGGGCAAGCTTGCGCCAAATGCGAAAGTGAAGTGGGATGAGTATTCAGGCGAGCCTAATAGTGCAGGGAAGGCCGCTTCAGTCGATCCAGGCTCTTATGCGAAAGGTGTGCCGTCATCAGACCCTAGGCCCATGGGGTATCAGGTTTCAGTCAGTGGTCCTGAGAAAAAGAACACAAGTTTTGGGGAGCGCGTTGGCCGCTTCGGGTCGAAGCGCTCACCACCGCCCGTGGAGCCGTGGAGCCGAGCGACGGGACGATCAGAAATCGCTCCTCCGCTCAAATACCAGCCTGCAGACAAACCACTTCAAATACCACGCAAGACGATTTCACCAAGCACGGACCAAGCGAGGTCAAACGCGCTTGCAGCTGCCATTGATTCCGCACCCAAGCTGCCTGACACTCAAACTGTAACAACCGAAATGGCGCCCAAGGATCCACGCGATAACGATATGCGTTACAACGACGGCATTAAACCCATTGTCCCGCTCAAAGTAGGGAAGAACACGCCTCTTCGAAGCGGTCACATCTCTCCAACCTCACCTTCAACAGGTCTCGGTATAAGCACATCGTACCCGAGCCCTATCACACCAACCAATCGCACTCAACTGAATCAGTCCCCGGCCACCGTAGAGCCAGTAGAACAGACGCTGTACCCCACCTTGCGGACTGCGACGCCGCCATACAACAAAGAGACATCAGAGAAGGACAAGCACGCACCCATCAGCCGGTTTTCGTGGACTACCTACAACAGTGCGGGGACATACCAACACTCACCACCACCTTCACCGCCCAACGGACTCTCGTCTTCGCAAGGAAAGCGCGTCGTAACCGAGCCCATATCGGCCGCTTCCTCGATCCTAAACCGTCGCCGCCCCGTACCGCCCTTAGACAGGGAACCCGCACCCATGGCCAAAGTCTACACTCCCAGCCCAAGATCCCCTTACGCCTCCTCCACCTTCTCCAACTCATCACAAAAATCACAAAAGGCGCTTCCGCTACCTCCTTCCCAACTCAGTGCCATCGACCACATCGCCTACTTGGAATCGCAGCAAGAAGATCTACGCATTCGTCGCAACAACGTGTATCGTTTGCTCAAGGACTTGAACAATGCTGCGCCGCCTAACCCGCTGCTTACCGACTTTAAGAAGGCTAGAGTCGCGGAAGAGAGGAAGAAGGCGTTTCAAGAGGAGTTGGATGAGATTCGCAGGGAGGAGCATGATGTTGGCCTCAAGTTGCATCGCGCATGGAAGAAAAGGGAGAGGGATGATCCAAACTCGAACGGGAGCGCCCTGTGGGTGAGGAGGGTCACTAGCTAGATGCAGTTGACTCGGTGGCATCGAGTTGGTCCACGATGTGGAGGATTCTCTTCTTTTTCTGGCATTTGCAGTTCATACAGCGTACTTGGCGTTGCTCTCCAGGTTGCATTTACCTTGGCTCGAAGCCTTGTGGTTATCCAAACGGATACGTTTTCTTTCAGATTAGCAAGACCTTAGTTATCATACCCCGAATTTCATAACATTCCATTTTATTTTGCAGACTAGTCGACCTCAGGTACGGGCAGACCATTGACTATCATCATTCCCTCCCGTCCCAACATCTTCATTGCTTTTACCGCTTCGTCATGTCGTAATTGCTTCGTTTCTTCATCCGTTACCAACACGAAATCGTATTTGAGCAATTTTGATCCTTCCTTGACATCATACTCCTTGGCCTGTTCAGCTGTTACGGTATCTAAGCTGACAATGAGAGATTCCTTGACACCAAAGACGGCGTCGGAGGTCTCGTAGTCGGAACCACGGACGTATAATGCCCTAAACATGGCGTCAGTAGGCTATGCAAACGAAGAGTTCTGAAGCGGAGACTCACGTAACCAAGTTATCGAAACCCTCCTTCTCAAACATGAAATGCATATGGCTCGGCCTCCAGCAATGCCTACCCAATTTCTCAAGCAACTTGCCAACAGGCCCGTCGTTGGGAATTGGATACGGTACGGGTACGATACCCTTGAACCAGAATACGCCATCCTTGTCACTCCTTATAACCGCACGGCCATCTGCTTTGTCACCCCTGTTCTCATACTGCACGTCATATTTGCCTTTGGAGTCTGTTTCCCAAACGTCGATCTTGACGTCTGATACGGGCTCGCCGTTCGTAGTTTTGACCGTGCAGAGGACGAGTAGGGACTCGCCGTCGGGATCGGCAGAGATGGAGGTGCCGTTGGAGTCAGAGGGTGCGTCGTGCGTGTGGAACGGACCGAGGACTGTGCCTTCGGTGGAGGAGGCCGGTTTAGGATGGTCTATAGAGTCTACGAGGAGAGAGAGGCCGACAATGTCTGAAAGAAGGATGAATTCCTACGACATATTAGTACAGCTCGGGTATCTTGGTCTTGTACCGCGAGGATCAGATCGAAACTTACCTGTCGCACGTCTGTGCATATTTGTCCTACCTGGGTAAGGAACTGTATGCCTGCCATCCACTCATCGAAGCTCAGGCGCGTCTCGCGTGCGAAGTCGTGTAGATGCGACACCAGACGCTCCATGACGTACTTGAGGCGCGGGTCTGCGCATTGCGAGTTTATTCGATGCACATTCTCGGTGATGTTTTCGATTGTGAGATCTTTGAGGACAGGAACCGTGGAGGCGTCTGCGCCCTTGCTAGATGCCATGGTGCTGTCTGATGAGACGTGGACGTTGTAGAGGGTTTGAAGTCGAGATTGGGCAAGCTTCAGACGAAAGATGTCACGGTCGTAGAACCAAGCACACGAAGATGAAGATGACTTCACGGCTTCCAAAGGAAAGGACACAACAAGCTTGCGAAGCTATTCGAAGAAGGGAAGTAGTGCACTTGAAGCTAGCTGCGACATTGACGAACGAAAGCAACCGTGAAGCTCGACGCGAAAGCCGCCGAATCGGGCCCCATCTCAAAAGACGTCCGCTGACGATAGCGCAAAGCTCATAGGTCGCGCAACTGCGATGGACAGGGTTGCAGGCGCCGGCAAAGAGTTCAAGAGGTGGAGGTGATGATGTCGGAGGGGCTCTCGGTACCTGGATGCGGGGCGGGGCAGCTTCCAGCGCCAGCTTACCAAGAGCTTACAAGCAGTGGCGGGCGTTACCGGACAAATACCCTTCCTTTGCCAGTCCATATCCTCATCATGAAAATGCTTGACATGTCTACAGTTCCGCTCCCCAACTATCTTTCTTCACTCTTTGATCTGCTCTTAATGACTGAACATGCGGCCTGTTGGCTCACTATACACCAGTTATGCCATCATAGTTTTGGCTTCTTCATATGATAGCAGCTACTAGCTGCACTCGTGTGCCACTCACGATGCCCCGAAGTTCATCGACAGCTAGTTCTCGAATAGCTATCACGTCGACACCGGCCTGGTCATCTTCCGGAACATGGCACCAAGATTCGTCTCGATCTGTACAACTGCTTCGCAATTAGCCTAAAGGATTTGTGTCGCTCAAGGTGCAGGAACAACACAGTTAATACATGTGCATATGCTAAGAACGAGTTGGATCAATTTCTTTCATATTGCTGTAAAGCGGATCGTGACAGTAACCTATGCGCCGTGATTGTTCCCGCCCATCAACCCAAACGCCGGCTGCGTACCGTCAATCCATGATAAGACCAGGAAAGAGAGCATAACTGATGAAAGTGAAGAGTATTCCTTATTCGACCGTGCTCTCACAGTAGACAGAGGAAAGTGAAAGCTGCTGAACAACTCCATGTGAGATTAGACGTTGTTCTTGGGGTTCTCTGGTGAAGCCTTCCACTGTTAAGTGTTAGCATGGTTACTCATCATTATATGGAGATGACGTACCTTCTTGCCAAGCTCTTGCTGTTGCTCCTTGAAAGAGAGATCCTTGTACTCATCGCGGTGGGCCTTGACTGTTATCGTTCGTTAGCGGATCGGTCGTCCCGTGAGGTGTTGTTCTTGCGCCTGGAGGAACGCGTCCGAAAAACGCGTCAAAACGCGTCAAACGATGCAGACTTACAGTATGCTTGCATCTTGATCATCGCGTTTCTCGCGTTGCCCTTCTTAGCGATGCGACCGCCCTTAGGACCAGCCTTCTTGACACCCGCGGTGCTGGCTGGCTTCGGTGTCGCAGTCTTGGTAGTGGTAGCAGCCATGACGAATAGCAGATACTGATTGAAGGTAGTATTAGTTTATGAGCGGAGAAAGCTGGTGGAAGTAAGTCGCAGAGGTAGAGCTGTCGTTGTGGTGTTGATGAGAGGTGAGCGTGAACTGTAGGTTTATTGACAGAAGGCGCGACCCAGACCGCGCTAAGCTACACTTGGCCTACCACCCTACTTTATGGATTCGATAGCCTGCCTGGGTATTTGCGCGACGTTAGAAACATAGTCTCGCGTGATTGGCGCAGCTGTTCACTTGAAACATGTAGCAATATGCGCCCCCAACTCTCTTTCAGAAGCAAGGTATGCGGCATGGAACGCATGATTGTGTCTCCGGAAAGAGACATTGCCTTTGCGCAAGTCATGAGCTGGCATGAGCGAAATTGTCGCCTTTATAGTCTCACTTTCGTTCGAAGTCAACCGCTCGCAAGACTATGCGGATCTTCTACGACGCAGGTCAATCTCGTGCTATGAAGGCGCAATGGCTTCCTCGGTGCTTAAATACGTCGCACTGTGGTCGATCTCCCGAGAAGTCTAATACTCTGCAGAGGGACTTCCAATTCGGGGTCCCGGCATTTGAGATACCGAAAGCCATGTTGATCACCGGTATCCGAAGGCATGCACAGAGGTCCAGCTCTTGAAAACAGCGTGGCAGCATTGCGCCGAACGAGATTCAATTGTAGGGCTGTCTCCAACTACGCTCTCAAGAAACATCTGCCGTCTTCTCTTCCGTTATACGACGATGCCGAGCATCCTGAGGGTCGGTACCCCCTGTGATCAGAACCGGCCTTTCGATGCCTCGAGAGGCAATGCTGAATTTCCGACGGTGGCCACTCGGGCGCTCTGTGAGGCTAGGAGCGCGTGGTCTCGCTTTACCGCGAGCGCGTCCGCCGATGACTGGTATCTCGTATGCGCCAGCGCGACAGCAGTATAGGATAAGATCGTAGACGAGCAGCGCTGCCCATGGGCCGATGGCTACGAGGCCGAGAAAGAGCTATGCTGCGTTAGAAGATCACTTTCAATCGATGAAGCCGAGCACTACTCACGAATATGCGCGTGATCCAGGTTTCGACCACAGCCAAGTTCGCAGGTAGAATAGAAAGGAATCCCATGGCGGGGCGTAGCGGAGATTGTACACGGACGGGACGAAGATAGAGATAAAGGGGCGTCAATTGGAGGTGCAGAGGTACGAGGAGGCACAGAGCAGTTCCAATTAACTGATGACACTCAGTCGTCGAGAACACAGAATGCGGTTGACGAAGATGTGCGATGTTCAAGTTTAGTGGAGAGATTGGCCGCCATGAAGCCGCCTCCAGCGGCCGCCGCGAAGTGGATCGCGCTGTGGGCCGCTTTCCCCAGCTCGGCACCGGCACATCACCGACCAGACCCCCTCAACACCAACCACTAAACATCAGATGCAGCTGACATCTCAGCCCTATATGTGAGGCTGTACAATGGTTCTTCCACTGATTGGATGCCCATTTGGCGTCGATTCTGCGAAGCCAATAAGACATGACAGCCATACCGGCACCCCTCCATGGAGACAGCCCCAAGCACCTCCGTTGTTATACAACTCTCTGTTCATACACACTCTAGCACGCTGGATTGCACTCACTTATGAAAATTGCTGGCATCCCTCTTCTCTGACGTACCGGACGCTGGCCAGCAGGCTCCCCAAAGACGGGTGCTTGGCTCTGCCCGCGTGCCCACGGTTGCCTGGCCCTACCCACCCCAACTTCTGAGCCTTGTCAGACCGACCTACCCACAGAATCTCTCTACTGAGTCAAAGGCTTTGAAATTTTGGCATACCTTCCAAACGCACTCCGAAACTTCGCACTATTTCTCGGTCGCTTACATCGACAGCTTGAGTTGATTGCGACGCCTCACCAGCAGCCTCGCTGCTACATCAGGAGGCCTCACATTAACCATCAAGCCGCATAGCACTCCTCAGGGTAGCGCGGGGACTCCAGGCTCGCTTCTTTGTGCATTCCCGTTCACATTCAACATGGACGGTCTCTCCTTCCTAGACGAGCACATGGAGCGAGGCCAGAGCAATGCGACACTGAAGATAGTCCTTCCTAGTGGAGAGGTCCGTCAGATCTCCGATCGCATCTGCCCGTTCAAGTTCTTGGACAGATGTCAGTAATGTCCCTGTACGGTTGCATGCCAACATCTACTGACTTCGTACACCCACAAACTAGGTCCGCTCCTGTACCACGCCTTTGAGTACGGTTTCCAGAGTCGCTTACAGGCGAGTATTGAGGCCCTATCCGAGCATGCTGTCGTCTCGCTTCTTCGGTTCTGCTACACAGGTAGCTATCTTCCGCCTCGAGCAGACTATGATCCAGTGTCGTTTCTTCCACATGCCGAGACGTACAAGATAGCCGAGGATTTCGATGTTCCGGAATTGCAACTTCTCGCGCACGGCAACTTCTCGTGCCAGCTCGAATTCGCCTGCTGTGTACCCGCCGCGCCCTATGACTTGGTCGAGACTATTCGTTTTGTATATCGTCACTATGCCAGTCAGCAGGCTCGTCGGGAGCACGACCTCGTTCCGTCACTTCTCAACTACTGCATCTCAAATTTTCTCTACCACAAGCTAGGAGAGGATGTTGAGTTTCTCAAGATCGCTGCTGAAATCCCGGACTTCCGCCAGGACCTATGTCGCACGAACATGGAACGCAATTTCCAGGATGAGTGTAAGACACTACAAGTAGATTCACATCCTACGCTAACTATCATAGGTGCATTCGACATTGTGCGGTTATGTCTCGACACTCTCCAGGTTCAACCTTGCGATCGTCCGACTCTTCTTGCGTCAAGGGACCTGCCAGATGAGATGATGTGCGATACTCTTCCGGAAACACCCAGCCCTTCATGCTACCCATCTGGCGAGAACTTTACAGCTGTAGAGACCGATCAGGACAACATGGTCGATTCTGGAATCCTTACATTTGTTCGTCGCCCCAAGGTTGCACAGCCAGCTACGATCCAAGAGTCCGACGAGGAGTGTCTTGAAGACGATCAGGGATTCACGTTGGTGTCCCGCCCCAAAGTCCAGAGCCTTACTACGTTCGACGAACCGATGTCTAGCCCTGAGTTGACTTCTCGTCCGGTGGTCGACATACTAGCCGCGACTGGCACCGACTACTCCAGCGACGACGAACCAATGTCCAGCCCCGAGTTGATCCCCACTCCCGTAGTTGATATACTATCCGCTACCGGGACCGACTACTCTAGCGATGAAGAGTGGACACAGATCTGATAGGGCCGATACGCTCCGTGGCTAGAGGGCGCTCTGGTCATGATGGCATGCGGCGTTATTGATGGGATATAGGTATCTCACGAAGTTATTGATCTTAAATTTGCTTTGGCATCATGGTGTTTCAAGTTGGGTTTAAATTGTTTAGGAAGGGGCGTTTCACTTGTACGGAATCACACAAGGGAAAAGTCGCATAAGCGCAAGAGTCTGCTTTGAGGAATCATTAAACACATTGTTTTGCATCCAAACTTTAAGAACTCTTGTACTAGAACATAGCAGTACTATCTGTTCCTTTTTTTCAATATTATCACGTCATGTCTCTGAATCCACAGTCTTCACCATGCGCCAGGGATCGTAGTGTAATTCCCTCTATCCTCCGACACCACTGCCTAAGAAGCCCGTTGCGGCCTGGCCTCCCATCTCAAATACGGCACCATCTCTAACATCGCATTCCGCTGTACAGCTCTTCCTTGCGCGTCGTGATGTTTCCTCAGCGCATCGATATCGATACCAGAAAAAGCTCCACAGCTCAAGGTAAAATTTGGTCGTTGCGCCTAACCATGCTTCGCATCCTGGCGCTGGATTTTCTTCTGTCTGCTTTTCGTTGTGAGACGCACCGTAGAGAAGCACAAGCGCTGAACGGTTTCAATAGCTTTCTTATCGACGAGGTCTGGATCCCATTGCCAGAGCATGCTCAAGACGTCAATGACGAAACTTTGGCAGTTGGCAGTGGCCACTTTGTACGTGAACTCTCGTAGAACCCTCTCTTTTGCCGCTTCAATCTTTCTGAACGAAGATTGGGCGCCATGAATTATCGTGGCGTCTGATCCCTTGTCCATCAAATCACCGATCTCGACAAAACTCTTCCGGTTGCATTCGAAGGCGTTCTGGTGCGAAGCGCTTCTTGGGAAGGTTTGGTCAAGAAGTAAGGCGCCGCGGTTTGGTCGCTCGTTTATGTAGTTTACTTCCCATGTCGTACCAGTCAGCTGGTTTGTGCCATCGTCAAGGAAGAGTCTCCAGTGTGCGGTGTTGGAGCCTGGGCTTGCGCTGATGAGGTAGAGTTGGCAGATTTTGGAGGAGTAGCGTGGGATACTGCTGGACGAGCTTGATTCGATGCTCTTGCTGGCTGAAGAACCCATGTCTTCGATAGGGTAGAGTTGCTCTTGTCTTAATGTGGCGTTGGTTTGTGATGGGAGGATGGAAAAGTTGGAAGACTTTGGAAAAGGAGATGAGAAATTGCAGAGTATTCATGCGAGGCGAAAAATGAGTCAAGGGCAAAACTTTGGCATGTTATTATCTCGGAACGATCTATTGGGCACATGGCGGGTCCTTATATCTGGCTTGCATTTCTATAGGTAGCGTGTTAGTGGTCATAGTTTCACTATGGAACCAGAAAAAGCCAACGACCATGGCCAAAGTGTCCTGCAAATGACGTGCATCGGATTATGGATGACAGGACTCCTCATGGCTTCACAGAGACCTGGAGCGGATGGGGCAGATTTCGGGTACGTTGATTCATGTTCGCTGCAGCTAGTCTGCGAACAGAGCCGCCCATAGAGTACATGACAAACCATAGCCACAAATAATCAGATATACGAAGTCCATATGTACGGGAAGGACTTTTTTGATGTTACAGGAAAATTCGGCCACCTTATGCATTTGAGATGGCAATAAGGAATCCAGCATAAAGGAAACCGCCCTCTCGTAATGGCCAGTGGACCGGGAAGGGATCGCATCAGAAACAGCAATTACATGGAACATCCAAATGAAACCGGGAAGCAGGAAACACATAATCAGTCTCGTGGGTTCATGCCGCACACTCAATCCTCCGTTCGTCTTTCGGCTCCGTCACTGCATAATCCATATCCGTGGGCATGATGGTCTCGGAGGTTCGTGTTCCAGGAGATGAGCAGTCTTCAGGAATGTTGACGCTCACTTGATCGACATCAGCAAGTGCTTTGAACCAGATACGCGATGGACTCAACTTACCTCGTGCGCCTAGTAGCGGCGGGGTGGGTAATCAGCCGCTGCACCTTCGTAAGGTGGGCGGCCTCCGGGGCTACGGGGACGAGCACCACGTGGGGACGGTGGTCGTCCGCCTTCGTAAGGGCGTCCATGACCGTTCATGTATGGGTCATCGTAACCACGGGGAGGAGGTCGGGCCCTAGCATCATAAGGATCGTCAGGGTAACGCGCGCGCGGTGGGCCATACTCATCAGGCATGCGACCACGAGGCGGCGAACGTCCATAACCACCATCACGCCTGTCATAAAACTCGCGGGGAGGTGTGCGTCGGCGATAGTCATCGCGGCGGGGGCTGTAGCCACGAGGAGGACCGCGACGGTCGTAGTAGTCGTCGTATGGCGCGGGTGGGTATCCGCCACCGCGACGGCCCATGGGAGAGCGGGATCGGTATCTATCACGGCCCCGGTCATCAGGACCACCAGGGCCTCCGTAAGGAGCGCGAGGCTTGAAAGGTGGAGGTGGGGGAGGATCGGAGACGTCCTGGATACAGGTAACTTCCTGCCCCTTGAACTCACGGCGGTCCAGCTTCTCCACTGCGGTCTTCAGATCGGCGGCCGTCTCGTACTCTACGAATCTGCGCGATGGTTTAGTACGTGTGCCTAGCTGCAGTACGTGTCCACTCACCCAGAGCCATCCCGTTCGCGGCCAACTTCGGAGTAGACGACGTCCAATCCAGACTGGCGGGCGAAATCTTTGAGGTCCTATAAGTTCGAAGTTAAGCGAGGCCCAAATCCAGAATGTATAACGGGAAGCAAGCGAGAACAAAGCCATTTCTGGTCCAGGAACGGTGCGCTGGCGCTAACAGGGAACTGAGGAAATCCAATAATCGGGGAGTCTGACCTGCCAGCTGGTCTCCACAGGAAGATTTGCTATTCTCATCCGGTATGGTGTGCGCCTAGGACGCGGGGGAACGCGCTCATGGGGAGTGAAGTTCTCGTTACGGGCACGCGAGCCGCGAGCGAACTGGACGATGAGGCGCTCGCCCATGAAATCGGTACCATCTTTGAATCAGTTAGAGATGCATGTCCGGACACATACACATAAGAGTTACATACGGAATGCTGCATACGAGTTAGCACGTGTTCAGCCGATCGGCGCGTAGTTGAAGCTTACCAGGGACGACATCACGAGCATCCATTGCGTCCTTGTACTCGATGAAGCCGAATCCGTTCATGAGCTTGATCTCAGTGATCTCGCCAGTGCCGTGCGACGCGAAGTGGCCTTCGACATCGGCCTTGGTGGCATTGCGCGGGAGGTTGCCTAGGTAGAGGCGCGTGGACGATACCTCGGTCATGGTAGCGGCTGTTGCGGTAGAGCTTTATCCTAAAGATAACCTAGTCTGGAGAGAATCGTGAGCAAATATCCATGAGCAAGCGGGAAGCCATCGAGGAAGCGCGCATGGTGCCTGCCAGTGACGGGGTGACTCGGTATCAAAGACGCGACGCCAGAAAGCCAGTGTCCAGCGGCGTGCGCAACTACAGGAACCAGGAAGACGCGCAAGGAATTTCCAGTGCATGCAATACAGGCGGCTAGTCGTACCTTGGAGATAGAGTCGGGCGCTGGAAGCAGGGTGGCCGTGAAGAACCTGAGAGCTTGAGGACCAGGAAGAAGCCGGGTGAGTGCAGAAGGCGCGTCCTTGAATCTGGGGCACCGGAATTAGTAAGCCCAGTATCGCGACCACGAATTGCAAGTGCAGATGAGGGCCGAGCAGCTATCGATGTAAGAGGCCCCGGCGAGGTTGATGGGTGGACGGTGACGAAGGGTGGAGAAGGAAGTTCGCCCAACGCCTCACTCGCCCTAGCGTTCCAAGCTTCGGGCACGGACATCACGTGTGCCTTGCCTCGACCTCGGGAGCCATGTACGGGACCGCACGACCTTTCAAGGCGCCCAGTGAAATGCCACTTCTTTCAAGCAGATATCTCAATGCTGTTTGCTCATAGGATCGTGGGAACGCAGTTGAAGCCCTCCCAGGCTTCGACCGCGCGCCGAACAAGGCGACTGATCACTCGATCCCTACAAACCTCGGAAGGTCACTTGGGCAGCAACAATACTCGGGCTGACGTTGAAATCTGATGTGTACACACACGGTTTCCTCTAATATACAGGCCCTCTCATTGCGTGGACGGCAGCTAAGCCATAATCTCTATCTCGGTCCGTATTAAGTAAGTACGTACTTTGGTCCCTCGCCACCTTGGGGTGTTTGCCAGTTGATGTCCTGGTCCGGCACTTTGATATCGCAAGTCTTGCAGTGGACGCAGCTGCATACAGTTAGCGGTCTTCTAAGTAATCACGATATCTAGACCTACTTTTGGGCGTTGATTTGGAACCTGACGCCCAGCTCTTTGCTGTCGTCCTCCACATACTCGTAGACGCCGGCGGGGCAGAACCGGTTTTCTACACCCTTGTACCTGGGCCATTCTTTCTGGGCATGCGCATCGTAGTCTTTGACCTGGAGATGGCAGGGCTGGTCCTCCTCGTGATTCGTGCCACTTCGGCTGACGCTCGTCAATATGTCGAAGCTGATCTTACCGTCCGGCTTGGGGTATTCTATCTTGGGGCACTCGTCTGCCGTCTTGGTCGCTGCGTGATCGGGCTTGCCATGCTTCAATGTCCACGGTGCCTTGCCTCGAAGAACGTAGGCCTCCAGACCAGAGTACATGATACCTCCGTAAATACCTAGTGGTGTGTGGAAAGACGGGCGCATGTTGCGCACAGTCTTTAGTTCCGACCAAATTGACGACTTGCGCATCTTGTCCTCGTAGTCATATAAAAACACGGTACCGCCGTCTGCATTGGCTTGTAGGGCGTCCCAAGTCGCCTCAGCAGCTAACATGCCGGACCTCATTGCATTGTGCGTGCCCTTGATCTTGGGCAGGTTGAGCAAGCCTGCGGCGTCTCCAAGCAGTGCGCCACCAGGGAAGGCCAGTTTTGGTATGGACTGGAAGCCGCCCTCAATCAGCGTTCTCGCGCCATATGATATACACTTGCCGCCTTCCAGTACGTCCTTGTAGTAAGGGTGGTGCTTCATCTTCTGGAACTCGCCATAGGGAGCCAACCAGGGGTTCGGGTAGTCGAGCCCAACAACGAGACCAATGCTGACGAGGTTGTCGCCAAAGTGATACATCCAGCCACCGCCATAGGTATCCTTCGGCAGCGGGTAGCCCATCGAGTGAACCACCAGTCCAGACTTGAATTTCTCGGGCTGCACCTCCCAGACTTCCTTGATGCCAAGTCCGTAGGTCTGATGTTGGCTATCTCGCCTCAGATCGTACTTCTTGATGATTTGCTTCGACAAGCTGCCATGGCAACCCTCACCAAGCAATGTGACGCGTGCATGGAACTCCATTCCTCGCTCGAATGAGTCTTTGGCCTTGCCTTCACGCGATATGCCGAGGTCGTTGGTAGCTACGCCTTGTACGACACCCTCGTGGTTGTACAGTACCTCCGACGCAGCGAAACCGGGGTAAACCTCGACACCAACTTCCTCTGCGCGCTCGCCCAGCCACTTGACCATCTGGTTCAAGCTTATTATGTAATTGCCGTGGTTGTTCATCTGCGGAGGCTTGGGTAGAGGGATGGCGCTGTTCTTGGTCATGAAGAACATATGGTCTTCTTTGGCGGGGGTGATGTCGGCGAAGCGGTTCAGGTTGTCCTCTGACCTCCAGTCAGGCAGGAGCTCGTCCAGGGCAGAGGGTTCTATGACGTTCCCAGACACGATGTGATCGCCCAACTCGCCCGCCTTCTCCAACACCAGAACCCTGAAGTCTTCATTGCCGGCCGCTGTCGCAAGCTGCTTCAGCTTGATGGCGGCGGACAGACCTGCGGGTCCACCACCCACGATGAGAACATCGACCTCGTCCGATTCGCGCTCTATCGACTTGGGATCGAATGTGTCGTCTACGGCGGCGAGTCGTGTGCGTGGCGTCGTGGAAAGAGCTCTTCTTTGACCGGCAATCCGTACTGCGGGACGGTACAGGCTGGAAACGTTTCGTCGCGGTAGTGATGCACATGCAAGTGGTCTTGATGCTATGCGCGCGGATCGCGAGGCTGCGAGCAACTGTCGCGTCGCGGAAGCGGGGACTGATCTGGTGGCCATGATGCAGGACGTGTTGGAGAGGCAAACAGATGTATTGTATGCGAAAGTAAGCAAGTTGACGAAATTTTTGCGCTTCCTACGAGTCCGACCGGCGGCGCACTACAGACTAGAAGCGACAGTGCTCAATACTGCGGAATGCGACAGAATTGCAGCATTGGACATGTACGCTCTTAGCCAACGCCAAAACCTCGACATGACGATATCCAAAAGTCGCAGCCGAGGCTACAAGGCTAAGTGCGGGATTGCAATACCGAGCACCCCATTGGCTCAGCCCACCTTCATTCCTTCTCTCCGCACATGTCAAAGTCACCACATCCGAACATCCTCTCTGTGCGATCACTCTCATGTCAACATCTTCACGCGCAGTAGTGCGCGTGCTCGATCTCTCTGACAAATGTCTCGACATGACGCCGCGGTGAGGGTATAGCAACATCAGGGTACTCGCGCAGAGCAAAGTACTGTCATGCCTACCAAGAAGGCTGAGCCAGCAAACTGCGAAGACAATTTGGAATCATCACAGAAGTTTGGGCAGCAGCCTCCTGCAGTTTCTCATATTCAAGCAGTCGCTTAGCTTTTCCTCCGAGCGCGTCGGCGTGCCTGAAACCGGGAGAGAGTCAGGCCCTTGTATGCCTGCAAACCTCAGTCGTACACTAAACTTATGCGTTTAGGAAGGCATCTCTCCGCATAGATCGCCCCTGCCCCGTCTGCAACATGTTCTCAAACTACACACGTTCGACCCCCATCCTGGATCTTCGCCATGACGACGACTCTACCGGCATGGAGCTTGCGTCACCTCTTTCTTCCGTAATCGTACGCTCTGCTTCATGCGTTTGATTCGACCGTTTCCAGCCAAGCCAGGGACCCGATCCCATGTCACACTCGATCTCCCGCTGTCATGCGAGACAAGGCTTTCGTGCCTGTGAGAGAATTGTGGGGAGGACCGACGGTCTTCACTCGAGCCTGGCCTTTTCAAGGCATCCTCCAACGGCGCATGTATGACATGCACGGCAAGCAGCAAATGATCGTCCCAACAATCGCGGCCTTGTCTATTTTGGACAGAGTCTCAGTCAAGCATTCGTGGAGCTCAAATAAGAAAACACTCTTATATAAACCAGTCTCCTCAGGCGGATATCACGGCACGCTCAGCTTCAATCTTCAAACCATTCCTTCGTGCAGAGCACTATCTGTTTATTTCTATTCTCAAGAGCTGTGCTCATTTTAAGTTTCGACACACCTCGTTTCAATCCTTCAAGATCAACCCCATACCATCACAATGAAGACTTCCATCTCCCTTCTCACTCTCCTCTCAGCCTCCTTCGTGGCAGCAGCTCCAGCGCCTTTCGTGGGCCAGGGACCTGTAGTCGCCGCTGGCACCGAGAATGTAGTCATGCCCTCTACAAACTTCGGTCGCCGCGAGGAAGACGTTGTGCAGAAGTTTGGCGAGAAAGCCCTCAAGCTCCGCGGTGCGCTCTTGGCAGCACGCGGTGGCATGGGCAAAGATAATGCTAATGCCGACGCCGAAGGTGCCAATGCTGAGGATGCTGCGGCGGCTGGCAACAATGGCGCTCAGGACCAGGCTGCACAGGATGCTGCCGATGCTGAGGAGGCCGCTCAGGGCAATGGCAAGGGCAAGGGCAAGAATGCCGATAAGCAAGCCGCTCAAGCAGGTACGTCTTGTCACAATCCTTTCCAAAGACTTCACTGACCCTCGATAGCCAAAGAGCAACAAGCTGCTGCCGATGCTCAGGCACAGCAGGATGCTGCCGCCGCCGAGATGATGAACCAGGGCCAGGCACAGAATGCAACCGAGCAGATGGGAGCAGCAGACCAAGCTGCCGCCGATCAACAGGCTCAACAGGATGCTGCTGCGGGCATGAACCAAGACCAAGCAGAGAATGCGAACGACCAGCAGGCAGCGGACCAAGCAGCTGCTGACCAGCAGGCAGAGCAGGGCGCCGCCAAAGGTATGGACCAAGCCGCGGCCGACCAACAGGTATGTTTCAACACCCAGATCTCATATCAGAATGACTTATTGACTCTACCAGGCTGCTCAGGATGCCAAGCAGAACCAGGGTGCTATGGATCAAGCCGCAGCTGGCCAGCAAGAGGCTGCCATGGGAGCTGATCAGGCTGCCGCGGAGCAAGGCAACGGAAAGCAGCAACAGCAACAGGATGCCATGGACCAAGCCGCAGCCGACCAGCAAGCCGCTCAACAGCAGGAGGGTGCTATGGGAGCCGACCAGAATGCTGCACAGCAAAAGGGAGGCATGAACCAAGCCGCAGCTGATCAGCAAGCCGCAGCCGATGAGCAAGCCGCACAGCAGCAAGATGGCGCCATGGGAGCCGCCGAGCAGGACAAGGCACAGCAGCAACAGCAGGAGCTCGAGCAGGCCGCCGCCGAGCAGATGGCCGCTCAGCAGCAAGCCGACCAGCAGCAGAAGGAGAAGGACCAGGCCCAGATGGCAGCAGACCAGGCTCAGATGCAACAAGATGCCGCCAACGGCGCCAACGGCGCCAACGGAATGGACCAAGCTGCCGCTGATCAAGCTGCCGCTGACCAAGCCGCTCAAGCTGGAAGTAAGTGACATCCTCTCCATAAACCTTTCATCTACTAACAATCTCAGACGCTACTGGAGTCGTTGACGCTGGAGCCGCCGCCGGAGCCGCCGCCAATGGTACCGAGGCGAACAACGACAACGGCAAGGGCAAGGGCAATGGCAAGAACAACGGCAAGGGCAAAGGAAAGGGAGAGGGCAAGGCCAACGGCAAGAACAACGGCAACAATGGCGTTGGACAGCTCCTCCAGGAAGCCGAAGCCGCTCTCCAGGCTGGTGGACAGCAGGGTCAACAGCAGGGTGGAGCCGGCGGTATCGAGGGCCTCCTCAGCAGCCTCCTCGGTGGCGGTGCTGGAGGTGCCGGAGCTGGTGCTGGAGCCGGCCAACAGAAGGCTGGTGGCATCGCAGGCCTCGACTTGAGCAGCCTCGGCATCGGACGCCGCTCGAAGAGGACCACCTTCCGCGCTTAGATATGAGAGACGACTGGGAGCTCATCGTTGAACGATGGAGTTCCACAACCCATGTAACCTTATGATTGTCACTGCTTCTAGATGAAGTATACAGCTATTAGATGACTAGTAATGCCAATCCAAAATCATCATCGAATTCCCCATGTACTCCTGGTCTGCCCCTATGAGTCACTCATATATACTCGTCTCCCTTCATCCAGCCCAGCTGCTTCCACATATGCAGCTTATCCCATTCTTTGATCCAGCCTTTGATCTTGCCATCTTCCACCTCGAAGATAGCTGCTGCATGCCACGCTGCCTTGTTCCCACTCGCCTTGATCCCATTGTGTGCCTCGCCGCAGTGACTTCCACTAGCACTGTACCTCAGGCACACATGCCCACCTTTTGCGAAGATGACGTCGTAAGAGTCGATGTGTAGATCGGATACCGCGGCCATGACTTTGGAATGCGACTCGGCGTATTCTTGGGGCGAGTTGACGCCGGGGAAGGTGGTTGGGGCGATGAAGTAGGCGTTTTCATGGCAGAGATGTGTAACGGTTTCGGCACCTTTGTTCTCCTTGGGTGAGTAGGCGAGGCGCATGTATTATTTTACTATGTCGACATTCTTCTGTTGGGAGGTGTCAATGACATGTTCATACGTAGAGGTAGCTTTGACGAAGACCTACCTGCTCCTCCTCGGTTTGAGGTGTGCTCTGCTTGACGGGCGGGTACTTTTTGTCTGACATTGTGATGTTTCCCGGCTTATTGTGTGACGATGGTGACGCGGAGGGGTTATGGAGTAGCTGTTATACGATATATGCTTGATGACGGCACGGCTTCACGATGATGTCATTCATACAAGGCCTGAGATGATCACCGGAACATGATGGTACAAAGGCTGCATAGAAGGACAGTTTGACGGGGTCTGAGGTGGTGTATAATGCTAGTGGTGAAATACAAGTAGTATTCTGTTATGTGCTCAATATGTCAAGCGACGCTTGGTACAGCTGCCGTGCTATGGTATGCGCTAGATATGCTCGAAACCAACCCAGAGTAGTAGCCCACCTGAATGCCGATGAATGAAGCCTTGATCACTGATGTATACGAGCCTACGCGAACACGCCTGTCCTTCTTCTCATACGCGTTCGACGCGTTGTCGCGTGGTCATGTGAGGCCCAAGAGAGTACCTGCATGACGCTACTTGGTATGCGCGTGGTGCGATACGAAGGGATCTGAGCCGATGCCGCGTCTTTTCTAGAAGAACTATAGAAGGCATGCATCATCGTCGAAGCTTCGTCGGTCGGGCTTTGTGTGCCTGTCTACAATATCAGCGCCTGTTCATCTACCAGTGAAGGGCTGGCGTACACCGACGAAGCATCACGAGCCCTGGGCAAGAGCCAGGTCGAGTGCATCCATGCAGTCGACAGACATGCGTCCTATAATGGATCAATCGTAGTCCGGACGGCGTCTCAGCCGGTCATACTCTGGTCTCCGTCTGCATCCTCTGCCTGCGCGACTGGCCGACCGAGCTCCGCCAAGGAAGTCTTCAGCCGCGCAATACGCGCCTCGAGATAGTCGATCTCATCTTCCTGGTCCTCGCACGTGCGGTCCATGTCAGGCAAGGCCGTTACTGCGCGTCGTGCCTTCTGTATCTTGAGACGGATGTCGTTGGCGGCGGTCGCAACATGTTGGATCTCAAGAGGCCCTTCGGCGGCAAGCTGTGCGGGTGTGGGTGTTGCCGCGGGTGGCTGAGCAGGCGCCTCGAGTATGCGCTTGAGAAGCTTGTGGAGGTCGGGCAGGATGTCAAACGTCGAGGGCGGAGGGAGGGCCGGGGTGCTCGCGGTCGGGGGTGGGGGCAGCGCTGGCGTCGCAGAGCCCGTGGGTGCAACTGAGGCTCGCGCTGAGGCAGGCGCATATGGCGTTGCGGCTCCGGACATGGTCGCGACGTCTGGCGAGTCGGCGCGCAACAATGTCTAGCGTGGTGTTGCAGCTGTGGTCGCGACGACGCGTGGACGGGATGACGCTCCTTCCACGGGTAAGGCTGGCTGCAAGGGTGGTGATTGGATGGCTACTCCGTGGGCGATAATCGCTTTGGCTGTCTGATACGCGTTTCCAGATGTCAAAGCGATCGCCAAATAGCGCGCTGCTGGTGTCACTCGAGATAAGTTCTGGCCGTGGGTTGTGGGGGGAATGTGGGCCTTTTCGCGGAAAGGCTGTGACGTTGACCGGCGATGCTTTTTTGAAGTCGACTGTTTTAGCCCCGCCAACCCTGCCCCTCCGTCAACAAGCCATTCACTGCTCCTTCCTCACCAACCTCCAAACCTCGTTGCCTTGATAACTTCTTGGGCACTATCGTTCCTTCTCTCTGGATTGACCTCATCAGCCCGCAATCATGGCCAAAGTCGACCAGAAGACGGTCCTCATTGTCATTGACGGCTGGGGTGTCGCGACTGAGAACTCGCGCAAAGATGGCGATGCTATCCTTGCTGCAGACACGCCCACCATGGACGAATTCGCAAAGGAGGGCTCCAAGACTGCCCAGGGTTACACCGAACTCGAGGCCTCTTCTCTCGCAGTCGGCCTGCCCGAAGGCCTGATGGGCAATAGCGAAGTCGGCCACCTGAACATTGGCGCCGGACGCGTTGTATGGCAGGACTCCGTCCGCATCGGACAGACCATTAAGAATGGAAAGTTGAAGGATGTAGACAACATCAAGAAATCGTTCCAGCGCGCCATCGACGGTAACGGACGGCTCCACTTCTGCGGTCTGGTTTCCGATGGTGGTGTCCACTCGCACATGGACCACCTCATTGCGCTCCTCAAGGTTGCAAAGGGCCAGGGCGTCAAAGAGGCCTACATTCACTTCTTCGGTGACGGCCGGGATACCGACCCCAAGTCCGCGGTCGGGTACATGGAGACTTTGCTGAAGGCGACCAAGGAGATTGGCCTGGGCGACATCGCGACAGTGGTCGGACGGTACTACATCATGGACCGCGACAAGAGGTGGGACCGTGTCGAGCTCGGTATGAAGGGTTTAGTTACTGGAGAGGGCGAGGAGAGCAGCGACCCCGTCGCAACCATCAAGGAGCGATACGCAAAAGACGAGAACGACGAGTTCCTGAAGCCCATCATTGTTGGAGGAAAGGAGCGAAGAATTCAAGGTATAACACTACGCTGAGCACCTGCATGTCTTCCTGCTGATTCGTCCAGACAACGACACCGTCTTCTTCTTCAACTACCGTTCCGACCGTGTTCGAGAAATCACTCAGCTGTTGGGTGATGTCGACCGCTCGCCCAAGCCCGACTTCCCGTACCCGCAGAACATCCACCTCACCACCATGACCTCGTACAACCCCAAATACACTTTCAACGTTGCTTTCGAGCCCCAGAAGATGACGGATGTTCTTGCCGAGACACTAGGAAAGCAGGGCGTCAAGCAGTGTCACGTTGCGGAGACCGAGAAGTATGCTCACGTAACCTTCTTCTTCAACGGTGGTGTCGAGAAGCAGTTCGAGAACGAGGAACGCGAGATGGTTCCCTCGCCCAGGGTAGCCACGTACGACCTAGAGCCGAAGATGAGTGCCATGGCTGTCGCAGAGAAGCTGTGCGAGCGCATCCAAACAGGCAAATTCGAGTTCCTCATGAACAACTTCGCGCCACCAGACATGGTAGGCCACACAGGTGTTTACAAGGCAGCCATCGAGGCCTGCACAGAGACCGACAAGGCTATCAAGAAGGTGTACGATCAGTGCAAGGAGAGCGGATACGTTATGTTTGTCACTGCCGATCACGGGTAAGTCCGCATCGCTGCACCTTCCGAGACAGTGCTAACAGGTTACAAGTAACGCGGAAGAGATGCTTACAGAGGAGGGCACACCGAAGACCTCCCACACAACTAACAAGGTGCCTTTCGTCATGGCCAACGCCCCAGAAGGCTGGAGCCTGAAGAAAACTGACGGCGTACTCGGTGACGTCGCGCCTACCCTACTTGCGACCATGGGTCTTCAGCAGCCTGAAGATATGGACGGTCACAGCTTGCTTGTCAAGTCATAGAGTGTCATTTGTAATAAAGATGTGAGACGAAGGTTTGAGATGCCTTGTCCCGAGATTCTGCCTCGTTAGATTCATACACATATAGACGACACGAGCTATGATGTATAGAACCATGCATAGAACAATTTCAATAAGCAGCGACACGTATAGCCATTGCTTTTCAGAGACCCTTTTTCCAGCTGTGGATTTATGGATGTTGCGATCAATGCTAGGATGATTGATCCCGGCTGAGCGGCTATGCGCTTGGCAACAGGGGTAAAGTCACCGGCGGGGAATCGTGTGGACCCCTCCTTACGTACTCCAGGGCGCGATAGCCTTCTTTTCGACACTCCCATGGCTTCGTAGCTGAATCCTCTATATTCACACCGTTCGCGACACAGTTCATTGTACCGTTCAACAGGCAGACTGGCCCCAATCTTGATCATCGCCAACACTATCCCGTCGCGTGCCATCAAGCAGCTCTACGCACGACCACCAACGTCGATCATAAGCCCATCGACTACCTTCAACTCGATATTAACTTTCGCTATCACTACGCGATATCTACGCTGTGACACATGTTGTCATAAAGTCACATCGCGCTTCCCCGACAACCTCACCTGTCGGTTCCATTGTTTTCGAAACCCAACCTGAGGCATCGGTGCCCGACCACGCCCTCCCCAGGCCCTCGTAATCGCGACACGCGCACGGCACGCCTACTGCAAACACTCCCCATCACGTCAGCTCTCTGCAAAGCGACTCGAACTCAACAATGGCAACTAGAACTTCCAACGGTGCGTCTGGAGCGCAGGGCGCGCAGACTGCGGCGCAAGTGCAGCCTTGCAGATACAAGACCGGCAAGACATTGGGCGCAGGCAGCTACTCTGTAGTCAAGGAGTGCGTGCATATCGACACGGGAAGATACTATGCGGCCAAGGTCATCAACAAGCGGCTCATGGCAGGCCGAGAGCACATGGTCAGCTCAGCCTTAAGCAACTGATGAACAATGAGACTGACAGGTACCAGGTCAGGAACGAAATCGCTGTCTTGAAAAGAGTATCCATGGGCCACAGGAACATTTTGACGCTTGTCGACTACTTCGAGACTATGAACAACCGTACGTGTTAGGCTTGCCTGGGCTGAATCTCCAGCTGACCTCTACCATAGTGTACCTCGTTACCGACCTTGCACTTGGAGGCGAACTATTCGACCGTATCTGCCGAAAGGGCAACTACTACGAATCCGATGCTGGCGACCTGATCCGTGCGACTCTTTCTGCTGTCGCATACCTCCATGACCACGGCATCGTACATCGAGACTTGAAACCCGAGAACCTATTGTTCCGAACTCCAGAAGATAACGCTGATTTGTTGATTGCCGACTTCGGACTGTCTCGCATTATGGATGAAGAGCAATTCCATGTCCTGACGACGACCTGCGGAACACCAGGATACATGGCACCTGAGATTTTCAGAAAGACTGGGCATGGAAAACCAGTGTAAGATATACTGCGCAACTTTGCGATCCATTGCTGACTCTGCTGATAGTGACATCTGGGCGATTGGAGTTATTACCTACTTTCTCCTCTGCGGTTACACTCCGTTCGACCGCGACTCCAACCTCGAAGAGATGCAGGCCATCTTAGTCGCGGACTACTCCTTCACACCCTTGGAATACTGGAGAGGTGTCTCCCTTACTGCCCGCGAGTTCATCCGCCGTTGCTTGACCGTCGACCCCGCCGCCCGCATGACAGCCCACGAAGCGCTCTCACATCCTTGGATCACCGAGCTGGGCAAGAACAACGCTGATGGAGAGGAGGATCTACTGCCCACTGTCAAGAAGAACTTCAATGCGCGCCGCACACTACATGCAGCTATCGACACAATTCGCGCCATCAACCAGCTGAGAGCAGGTGGTGCCGCTGGCATGATGGATGGCCAGCGATCCGCTGAACCACGGAGAGGAGCCCCTCATGCCAACATTCCTCAACCCGCGGAGGAGCCTGATGACCCTATGGAGATCGATAGCAGAGGAAACGGCCACGGCCAGACTGAAGAAATGATACAGGAGCAAGAGCGGAGGATTAGAGAGACTCAGCAAGGCCTATGGGGTAAGCGATGATGAGCGTCATCTACCATCTCAACGTCAATTCTTTTCTCAGCACACGTTTTAGAGTGGATGTATTGGCCCTCAGCGGAATCTCCTTTCGATCACATTTCATGTTCACATTAGCGAAGGCTGGCGCTGAAGCCCTTCTCTCTGCGAATTGGTTTTGAGCAGCTCATTATAAACAATGGTACCGATTCAACAGCACGCAAACTCTTCAACGACGTGGTCTACAGACATACAGCATGCATTCGCGTCCGAACTTTCGATCCCCAAAGCCATGATCTGTTACGCCTTTCTCTTGAACAAATCTTCGGTTGACAGAGGGAGAGTACCTAGATGCTGTATACCAGACCTACGTCAGCTCCGACCTCGTCCTTACACAACAACTCCCAGCCTCGATCCCAGTCGTCCAGCCCCTCACCCCACTTCAACTTTAGCATTCCCAAGTCTCTGGCCCGCGCCCAGAATGCCTCAAAAGTCGTATACAAATCCTTGAAGTATTGTTCTCCAGCCACCTCAATGCCCTTTTCTTGCAACAAACTTGCATTGACTATGTTCAACGAAGCTCTGTCGGCGAGGCGTTGCGCTGCTTTTTCTGGGTCTTGAGGCGCGACTTCACCACCGACTGTCACCAGCGTGAAAGGAATATTGGGTGCTAACGAAGACAGCGCAGACCGCCAATTTGCGTTTGCTCCGGGGCGAGCGCCGAAGTCGAAGAGTAGGGTACGTGATGTACCAGAAATCTTGATTTGATCGACCGTGTCGTCGAAGTCGTCGTAGAGAACGACGGTGTCGT